AAAATCCGTACTTGATTATTTGCGAAATCCTCCGATCTCTAGATCTGTTGCCCCCCCCCCCCCTCCCCCCATCTCAATTTGAGACCCTTTTATTTTGAGCGTATACCATTCCTTAACTAGCATATCTTTGTTTAACGGTTGCGCACGAGAAGACACATGCATAATGGATACAACATACTCGAAGAATCTTATCACATTGCTATTCTAAGTACTTAAAATAATAGCTAGCATTTACAAAAAAGAACTGCTTGTTTCATTTCATTTCTAGGCACTAGTACAAAATCAAACTATTGACGACCCGTGTGGACAAATAGGCCTCTCACAGACGAGGTCAATCAAATACCTGACCCAACCCCCCTGCGTGAAAATGCGCTTGATTCCAGGAGTCAGTGCTGTGACATTCAACGGTAYATCTAACTTGACGCAGTGTATAAAACAAGTACAGAAGCTGTTTAACTTCACTCAATGTTCTTCAAAAGAACGATGCTCATTTAATGGTGTTTATCAACCATCTACTGAAGGAATTCCATATATGGTGAGCTATATTTTTGGTTTGATTGGCGTGGTGCACAAAAGGTCACGTAAGATGCACATAGGATGGTAGATTGGATTACCGTCGTTTGCATTACTACGCGGCCACCCCAGACACAAATCGAGTCGTGTAGTTTGCAATAGACTAACGTCAATCATTCATGTTGACGCCATTTATACACGTTTGGATCTGTGAGTTGGCTTTTCTATCAAACTTTCTCAGTCAGACATCACGAAGGAAAGTTCCGAAAGCGATTGCAAAGAGTTTGAGTACATCCAAGTAGAATGAGGTGTTTGATTGACGGCAGTCTATTGCAAACTACACGACGCGATTTATGTCTGGGGTGGCCGCGTAGTAATGCAAACGGCGGTAATAAATATAAAGGCATAAGACCCCTTGCGTGTGACGTCAATCTGGGGGCAAAAAAATGAAAAATATTTACATGAAAAATGTTTTCAAATCTCTAGAGAAGAAAACTTAATTGTTTTGGCCCCCAGATAGGGAATTAGGTCAAGGGGTCTATATAAAAACTATGCAAATATCGACATAGTCGCAAATCACCAACAATTACAAAATAATCGCTCGGCTTTGCGTTACCACTAGGAGCGATCACGTGAACCCCACGTTAACGCCACGTGAACCCCTACATACATGATAGTTGTTACATACATGATGATGTAATCATAATAATGATGTATGATTTATATAGCGCCCTTTCTATGTATACAGCTATTCAAAAAAGGTTGAATACTGAATACTGTTTAGTGCATTCCAAGACCAAAGGGCATTGTGGGTGTCGTTAATTTGAAATAAAAAGTAAATATACAACAATCAACTCTCTACATGTAGTTAGTATATTGTTTCAGATGGAATACTGACTAAAAATAGAATAAAAGTTGTTATTAATCCTACTTTAGACAATGTCGCTATGACCCACAATGCACTTTGGTCTTGGAATGCACTATTCAGTATGCAGTATTCAACCTTTTTTGAAATAGCTGTATATATAGAAAGGAGTGGAGGGTAGTGTAAGGTATGGACAATGAGGATGGTCACTGCCAGAGTTTTTTTCATGTTTTCGGAGGTTCTTTTACTACTGTACTCCCCTCTCCCCTTTTTGTATTTTACTACTACTTTTTCAGTGCCTGACCTAAAAAATGTAAATTTTCAAATTTTTTTAGCTAATTGCTTCAATCAGTTTATCTGTCGCAATTAGCTTGTGCTTTTAACTAGGTAAATGTCTTTAACTTTATGTATTATTGTAAATTATGGCACTAAATAATTAAAAAGTTGAGTTAAGTTGAGTTACTGTTATAATTACTAATGATTGTAAGTTGCACAGCTTCAAGTAAACCGTTTTGTTAATATTTTCGAATTTTATATAAAAAAATACAAAAACAAAAAAAATTAACAAAAACTTCTATTGGTTTTTCAGGCTTTTTCTAGTTTTTATTACGTGATTAGCGACCTGAACTTAACAGCAACCGAAAAGGCTAATATTAGTCTTGGGAGGTTCAAGGAAGCAGCTGACGAAATATGCAGTCAGACCTTGGCACAGGTATGTAGAAAGAATTCCTGTAATAACGTATGTATTAGAATTTGTGCACTATTTACTAGTGTTATCCCAGCTGTAGGGCTGTAGCAAGGGGACGGGCAAAGGGGGCTACCCCCCCCCCCCCCAAATAATTTTTCAACTGCTTCGGCTATTTTTAAAATGCCATATATTGCACGGTGCAACAGAAATTTGCATTAGCTGAAATTTGCATGAAGCTGGCCGTGTCGTGATTCATAAATACAGAATACTACTAGATTTAAATAAAGCCATTTAAGTGCAACCTACAACCACCTAATTACCGTCGATTTCATCAAATAGACCCCTTCACGGTTYCCTGCGCCATCTTGAAAGGTAGCAGTGCCTTTGCATCGAAGCGAGACGAACGGTGAGCTTGCAATGATAGGGATCTGTGAATAATTGTCCAAGGTGTTTAAAAAAAGTCTCTATCATTGCAAGCTCACCGTTCTTTTCGCTTTGATGCAAAGGCCCGGCTACCTTTCAAGATGGCGCAGGGAACCTTGAAGGGGACTATTGGTGACGTTTCGCGTTTATTTTGTGGTGCAAATGAACCTTTGGCTGTCTCTCAATATAAATGGGCGTGGCTTGCTTGCATACATTCCCCCCTCCCCAATATTTTTGACCTTGCTACGGCCCTGGAGCTACCAAGGGGTCTCGTATTGTTTTCTTGACCTTTTTTTGTTACATCACAGGTTACTCACGGAGCATCTCCGTCTAAAATAGCTGTACTGAGGGCAACATGTTTTGATGCACAATATATTTACACATTATTAAGCAAGGGGTATCACATCCAAGACAACTCTACTCAGGTCAAGTTTCAGAACATGGTAAGGCTATCTTTATTTATTATGATATATTTGGATAGATTGTCTTGCAGTAAAACTACACCATTTAGGGAAACTAGATTTATGCATAGCAATTTTCATGCAAGCCCTGAAGGAGCAGTGAGTGCGATACTGGAACGGGAGAGTGAAAATGATATTTTTACCCTTTTTTATTTTTCATTTTGGAAATATCTAACTGGGTTCACAAGATACAGGGATGTCAAATAGTCTTAAATATTTTTTTGTCGGATCAAACATTCGAAGTTTGTGGGACATAGCAACGGTAACTAAGGGGGATTCGTGACTATGAATAGAGGTTTTGCACCATCACGTGAAGGCAGCCATGTTGGATGGCAGTGACAATTCTCTACTTTCACATCCCCATAATGCCTTGCGTTTTTGGGGGGTAACCAATCAAAAAACTGCCCCAAATTGAAAGGTTTCTTAATTGAATATATACTATACCTGCTTTTATCTGTACAATACTGATTATCAGTTTATTCCAAGTTATTTTTGCGTGTACAGATCATCAAGAGTTTTGGTCTTACAGAAAATGTATTGACTTACGRAAAAAAAATTAAAACTCACCTCAATCGTCTTCAAGCTTCTATCTTTTTCTGTTTTTTACTTCTTCATTTTGGCCTTCATTTTGTGAAGGATGTTGTTAACTTGTGCCAGTGATGATCCGTGGGCTATCAAAGAGCCTTCATATATTTGAATTTGTGCATTTTTACTTGTTGGYATTACATTATATTACATTATGAACGCAGCCTAACATTAGAATTTGTTTATTTTAAAATTACAATTAGGTAAATAAACGTTCCCTTGGTTGGGCCTTGGGGTTCATGATCAACGCCACGAACCTGATACCCAATGAGGAGCCCGAGTACCGAGTCAAATCCGAGGCGTTTTTAGCTGTAGTCCTTGTTGGCGCTGTTCTGATCGGCCTTGGAATTCTCCTTCTCATAATGACAACACGAAGGGTTATCGATCGAAAACGACTGACGACCGGAGGTTTGGCGATTTAGAAATCCATTTTTTACCATTATATCGTGTTTCAATCTGATTGGCTAGAACAGGGATAGAGAAAATACAAGACTTTACGAGAAGATTCAATGGTGGCAGAGACAAGTCTAAAAATGAGCATTTCTTCATTTCATAGGAAAGGGAGTGTCGATAGAGGTCTTCTCCGTGGGCGTAATGTTTTCTCATTTCAGACCACGTCTTATTCTCTTGAATATCATTTCTTTGTTTAACGGCTGCGCATAAGACACATGCATGAATACGAATACGACTCAAACAAATTTTGGAATATTATTTTCAAGGGAATGACATTGGGCTGAATTGGGAGAACACTTCGCCCAAGCCGAAGTGGCTATTTAATAAATTTAACTGTCTCATAAACAAGTAGACTGACTGTGTGAGAAGGTGTGACAACTCCCAGTGAAAGGTCAACACAACATTGATCAGGTAGCCGCCCAATTCCGCTGCTACGGACAAGAAAAGTCACACAAGACAGAACACAAGAGATGACGTGACGCCATATTGAAAACTAAGCGCGCAGAGGCACTAGGGGTACTAGACGATCCTCCTCTTGCAGCAGCCATTTATCTTGATACTAGCAGAACATCACTAGTAGACCTATAGGATGAGAATACAATATCTGAGCTCGAAGTTCGCAGTGACGTCACTTAATTTCTTTGAATTTTAAAAAAATTGTAAACCATTTATAATTATAATTTTAAAACTAGTGGGGGGAGGGGGAGGGGGCTGTAGAGCCTTTAGAATTTACTAAAGAAAACGATTATTGGAATCGATGTGTTTTCAAAAACTCAGAGAAATTTAGTCATATAGCTTAAAGAGTTATAAGTCAATAAAAATGTTGGGAATGTTAAGAGAATAAGTATGATCCACACTGCATAGCCTCGGTGTGAAAATATGAAAATCAATGTTGGTTGGTCCTAGATATCAGTTAGTTTAGACACAAACTCAATAGGTTATTAATAAAGAATTTAAAACTAATTGTAAAAATAGAATTCTTACTCAGTAAGTTTTATAGGATTTTAGGAAAAGACTTGACAAAACAAAAATTTAAAATCATTTTGRTATTGAGAAATTATTGAAATATTATAATTTTGTCATCCAAAATTAAAAGCTCGATTGAAAACGTAAGAAAATGGATGGGAAATAGATGTATATAAAGCGAAAATTATTTGGAAATAAAGAGAACAATGAGGAATAAACTTTCTCGGTCTCTTTTGTTTTTCTTTATTTGCCCTCATTTTATCTATTTTATCTTCTTTTTTTTAATATTCGAGCCTAAATTTGACAAATAGATATTTAATAAAGAATACTGGGGGAAAAAAGAACACTAAAAGTTTGATTCAATGTGAAATATCGCGAGGGATGTGCACTTGACTGGATTCTCAGTGTCAATCATAATAGGTCAAATTGATTGGTTCCCGGGTCTGCACGCGCCAAGCCTGTTAACCCAGACATGACCAACTTTGAGCAAGGTTGCTTAATCGTCCACCTTTTGCAAGTTATTTCTGGTTTTTAAAAAATTGCGGAGAAATCTATCTTCGATCTGGAGTAAAACAAGTCGTACACAACCAGATCAGCTGTCAGCCCATCTCTGTCAATAGTTTTGAATAGTTCATTGAGTGAATACGAGAGATCTGAAGCCAGCACACTTGTCTGCAAACGCACCTGTTCAACCAAAGGTGAGATAGCTTTGGACTTTTTTCTCGAAAAAAAATCTTGAATGAAACTTTGCATATTTGTAAAATATTATTTTATTTTACTGTATTTTTTTTTTTTTTACTCATTGTAAGAGAATGAAACAAGATCAAAAATTCAATTGAAGAAGATATCTGTTTTTTTGCAAAAACTCTGAGATAAACCCAARGACTGTCACTCCTTTCTAAGCTTATTCATTCGTTGCAATCCTAAAAAGCTTTCTTCATGTACGGGAATATCACTCTTGATTTCATTATCCTTTACTTACAATTGAAGTGAAATTACTGTGAGCTTTGATGAGTATAGTAAACTAAAGCTAATGAGCTATGAGTATAGTGCAAAGGCAGGCGAAGGCACTAACTTGGCTTGGTTCGTTTTCTTCTCCCGGCAAAACTACTTTCAGTTTTGAAGCTACAAATAATAATCATTACTGTCATCTGCCTATAAAAAATGTTTGGATTGGCATTTCAAACGATTTGTAATTCAAGAAGTTAAAGTGTTGGTCCAGATTGTCTCTCTTTAACGATTCCTGTATTGTCTGTGGCATGTCTAGAGTTCATGTCAGAACAATCATTTGATTAAAAAAAAACACGGTTCAAAACTCTYGATCTTCAGATCTTATACTTGTGATGATATTTAAAATGGGAAAGCAAGCGACGTGAGATCAGCGTAGGAATAGTTTAATTAGTGTACTTTTAAGGTGGCTCGACTGGGTTTTGCTTGTGGCGTACCTTCGAAGTTTGAAGGGAAAATGCGTCGCTGCCAATAAATTAAATTCAAATAGATCATTATGACATGTCTAGAGATAGATTCAAGTTTTAAATGATATACAATTTATCATGATCGGAGTTACCATAGCAATACAGTGACGTCATGTCATTTTTTTAT